TCCTGACCCTATAGTGATCCTTTAAGGTAATGCTGACTTTGGTCTCTCTAACACTGTGGCATGTTCCCTTTCTTCTACACTCACTGCATACAGCTTTTCTCTGACCCAGACTATATACCAGGAGCTTCTGCCTGCTAGTAAGAAGGTAAGGGGACAAGTGGACCAGCGAGTGCTAGGGGACAGTCCTTAGAAAGCGTTGAGCGAGCGCACCATTAGATGCATTTATGCCAAGCTCAGGGTGCTGTCTGCATAGTATGCCCTTAGTTGGCCAGCTGCATGATTGGCAGGCAGCCTGACATGCATTCATACCAGGCTGGCCTTCTAATTCTTTGAGCAGACATGTCCTCTTTTTGGGCATGTTCGCCCCTTTTGGCAGGTTACGTGATTTGTGTCAGTGGCACACCCTTTTACCATGCCCATTGACTTCCTGTTTGACTGGACACTGCTGGATTATGGATTTACTTGAAAGATGAAAACATAAATTAGAGAGAGATTAGCCTAGGGTATGTGTTTTCTTATAGCTGCTGTTTTCTTTCTCTCCAGCACCATCTCCATCAGATACATGATGCTTGGGAGTGTTTTACTGTTTTTGGTCGATTTGATTCTGTAATTAGGCCCGTCATGATTGTCAGCACCAGGCCCACTGGGCTCTTAATCTGGCCCTGCTTCCAGGGCAGACCATGTGCAGAGCTCTGCTGAAGAGCTCTAGCATGAGAAAAAAGCTCTGTATTTGTTCTGCATAGTGCAAGCAAATTTAATAACATGCTTGCACTGTGTTTCCTTGCAACTTGTCTCTGGTGTCTCTATAAATGGATACCAGGAGACAAAAATGCCAGGAAAGAGTATTGTGCATTTGTTTGGAGCCTGCTTGTGGTATTGCGTGTGTGTAGAGTGAGCTGATTGTGGTGTGGTATTGTGTAATAAGGTCGGTTTTAGTCATGTTGTGTTTGTGGTGTAAAGTGGTGTAATGTGATGCATATGTGGCTATGGGCTGTAGAGAATATGTGTATTGGGGATATAGCAAGTGTGTGCATACAGGCTATAGTGTGTGTGTGTGTGTGTATAGGTGATGTAGTGTGTGTTTAGGGGTGTAGTATGTGTTTGCTTACAAGGAATCTAGTGTGTGTATAGGGGATCCAGAGTGTGTATGTTAAGAGTGTAGTGTGTGTGTGTGCATATATATATATATATATATATATATATATATATATATATTTGGAAGTATTGTGTATGTGTGTGGTGCAGTGTGTTGGGGGGGTTCTGTGTGTATGTGAGGGGTGCAGTATGGGTGTGTGTGAGGGTGCGGTGTGTGAGTGATGGGTGTGAGAGTGCCGTGTGTGAGTGATGGGTGTGAGAGTGCTGTGTGAGATGGGTGTGAGAGAGTGCTGTGTGAGAGAGTGCTATGTGTGTGTGAGAGTACTCTGTGAGAGTGCTGTGAGAGAGTGCTGTGAGTGTGATGGGTGTGAGAGTGCTGTGAGAGAGTGCTGTGTGTGTGAAAGTGCTGTGTGTGATGGGTGTGAGAGAGTGCTGTGTGTGTGTGAGAGTGCTCTGTGAGAGTGCTGTGAGAGTTCTGTGAGTGTGATGGGTGTGAGAGTGCTGTGTGAGAGAGTGCTGTGTGTGATGGGTGTGAGAGTGCTGTGTGTGATGGGTGTGAGAGAGTGCTGTGTGTGATGGGTGTGAGAGTGCTGTATAAATGTTAGAATGGATTGTGTGTGTGTTGGGGGGGGGGTAAACAAAAACAAAAAACAGGCATTAAATCCCCCCCTCCCTTCTTACCTTTAGCCTGGGAAGGGGGGACCGGCACACTGGTGACTGGGAGGCGGGGTGGCAGTGTTCCTTGGTGGTCCTCGTGGGTGAGTGAACTCTAGCCCGCATAGCCTGTGAGGCTAGAGTTCACTCTTGCGAGATCCGGTCGTTGCCATGGCAACGCGCCGGATCTCGCGAGAGGAACCCAGCGGAGCTGCAAGTTAGAGCTCCGCCGGGTCCTCCTCTCCTAGCGGCTGTCTCCCTCCCTCTCTCCCTGCCGGCGGCCGCATTTGGGCCAGTGAGGGAGATCTTTGATCTCCCCACCGGCCCGTTGTGGCAAACAGCGGGGCCGGCGCTAGGAGAGTGCCGGCCCTGCATAGACCGGCAGGGGAGATCCTGGGACCTCCCCTGCCGGCCCCACGGCCACCGCGGCCCACCGGGCATTTGCCCGGTGTGCCTGATGGCCAGTCCGAGCCTGCCTCTGATACATGAAATGGTGGCCACCCAGTAACTCCACAGTTTGTCTGGACCAACAGATGAAACACATGGGAAACAGTGCAACAAATGAAGGGAATCATAAAGAATATGGACAATAGTCATATTTGCACACAATCTCCAGTTTTGTCACAGGGCACAAATAGTGTTTTCAAATGCCATATATCCCAGGGCCATAGTCAGAAGGTAGGAGGCGGGCAAGCAGCCCCCTCCAAGAACACGTGGCGAAGTCTGTTCCGCCACAATCACTAAAGTGAGAAATCAAAGTGGATTTTAAATTTAAGGTCAAAATAGTTGAACCGGAAAAATTCTTTAAGTCAGCTGTGCTTTCCATTCAGCTACTCTGAACTAAAATTTGAATTCTCACTTAGATGAATAACCCTGTGATTTAAACTTAAAATTACAAACAGGTGGGTCCCTAATTCTAAATGAAACAGAATTTGCAATAAAGGAAGTGTAAACATTAGATCTCTCATTACAGAAAGTTTTTAGGAAGGCTCTGTAGGTCACATGTAGGGAGGCGTGGCTAGCAGGGGTTATTTACCCCGAGGCAAACAAGGCATTTGCCTTGGGCGGCACTTTCTGGGGGCAGCAAAAAAAGCTGCCCCCCAATCGCCCTGGCAAATGCCTTGCTAGACTCTTGTCCTGGGGGGCCCAGGAGATGGCCAGCTGGCCACCTCAGAGCCCCCCAGGCTGGCAGCGGCGGCACTTTCAGGGCGGGCGGCGAGGGAGTACTAATCCTCCTGTTCAGCTCCCTTGCACGCACTGCAATGATGCCAGAGCCGGAATATTCTGGCTCCGGCATCACTAAGTGGCGTGCGAGGGAGCTGAACAGGAGGATTAGTGCTCCCTCGCCGCCTGCAGTGACTGGCCTGCTGCCCAGCAGCACCACTGGACCCCAGGGAAAGTGATAATCCACCCCAGCATTCCCAAAGGTAAGGAGGCTGGGGGCATTGAGCTAAAATAAAATGTGAGTGTGTTAATGTGTGTGTGTGTGTGTGTGTGTTAGTGAGTGTGTGTGTGTGTGTTAGTGAGTGTGTGTGTGTGTGTTAGTGAGTGTGTGTGTGTTAGTGAGTGTGTGTCTGTCTGTTAGTGAGTGTGTGTGTGTGTGTCTGTTAGTGAGTGTGTGTCTGTTAGTGAGTGTGTGCCTGTGTGTCTGTTAGTAAGTGTGTGTGTCTGATAGGGAGAGTGTATGCGTGTCTGCTTTGAATGTGTGTGTCTGTTAGTGAGTGTGTAGGTCTGTTAGCTAGTGTATGTGTGTCTGTCAGTGAATGTTTGTGTCTGACAGTGAGTATATGTGTCTGCCAGTGAGTGTGTATGTGTATTTAGAATCTCCACAAGGGGGGAGGTGCCTGGGTTTTGTCATGCCTAGAGCAGCACAAAACCAGGATACACCACTGGTGGCTAGGGCTGCATAAACAAAGTAATTTAAGTCCTAAACTGCAGAGAATTAAGCAGTGAGACTTCAGAAGCATGATCTGTACACCAAAACTGCTTCATTAAGCTAAAGTTGATTTGGTGACTATGGTGTCCCTTTAACTGTAAATATGAACAAATGGTCTTGCAGCAGCTCCGGCTGGGGTGCGTGACTCGAGAATCATGTAAGATGTGGGATGTATAAATCACAAATAAAAATGCAAACTCGGGTTGTTGAAAATCACAGAGAGAGAGTTATTCAATATCCTTCCATCTACGCCTTACCCCTCTGACCTGCCTCCCTCCCTCTTTTTCAGTTACTTTAATTTTGGTTTATGTTTGTTATGAATCCAACTGTTATACTCATCCTGATTGTTATTCAGAATGGAACGCCCAGTTGAGCACTACACTAGGCGTGATAAAGTAAATCACAGCGTTAACAGAGTCTTTGTTAAGAGAAACATATGTAAGTGTGAAAGATGACTGTTACTGCTTTAATCTATCATTGTCTGACCATGTAAAATCATGATGATGTAAGTGGATCTATTCCACTGTAATATATTGTATAGCATGGTAAAATAAATAACAATTTTCCAAGTAAAAAAAAAAAATTATTAAACACCTCCTGGCTGTCAATCAAACATTATCTATAGCTTCAGAAACATATTAATGGCAAAAGTCTCTGCCAGGAAAAAGGGGAGGGTTAGCAAAGTTCATAAGAACAGAAGTTTTTGTAATCTCCTTAAGGTATACCCCCAATGACTGCATGCATTTTTCAGGAATCTATTCACTGTGGGTATATCTACTAAATAATGCTTTTTATTGATTTTAAGCGTGGAGTGGTCCTTTACTCCTGTTCTGTGAGGAAGGTGAGTAAAATATTTTTCAGGGTCCTTTGGTGAACATGATCCTTTATGATTTTGTTAAAGCATTTAAAAGAAAAAGGGAGCATTGGTGAGAACGTGTCCGTGTGAATTGAAAAGTGGCAGAAATAATGCAGACAGCTGAACAATAAAGAGATGAAATTATAACTAACCTGGTTGGATTCAAAGCCAACCAATCACAGTGCTCTAAATGGCATTCAAAGTTTGGGAAGGCCTTTAGAAAAGACTTTCCCGCTTTGAGTGCATAGTAGCCCTCAATATTGTGACACACTTATTCTTTTAACAGTTTTAGTGGTTTATTATGATTTATTTTGGCCTATTTTACAGCCCAAAAAAGAATTAAAAATACACAAATATATATATTTTTAAAGTTTTTTTTTAGTAATTATTTTAAATTGATTGACCCACCCACACTACAATTAGTGTGAGAGGAGGTAGGTAGGGGAATATTTGGGTTGACGAGAGACAGGGAGAAGTCTAGCCACCAAGGATGGGAGCAAGGAGGTTGGCAGATACCCATCATTTAGATATATGGACCCAATAAACTGGGCATCTCCTGGGCCCACATATAATATACTGGATCAAGTAGACTGGGCATCTTCTGATCCAAATGTGGTCCCCATATTTGTTTGTGTTTTTGTTTTCGTTATACTTTTTGATTTATTATTATGGTCTGATCAGTTAGCGGATTGTAGTATTAGCGGATTGTAGCTGCAAAACGTTTCACAGTTTGCAGCTATAACTGACAGCCTTACATTAGCTATTTACCTGTTCTTGTGCGTTATTAGCATTTACGCTAGGGAAACAGATCCATGTGGCGGTAGAATAATGAAACTTTACACTTTAATATGATGCCGCCCAATCACTTTAATTTTTACTTTTTATCAAATGCAGATAGAATACAGCCAATGGGAGTCTCCACCTGTTAACTTGGTAGGTGTTTTCTAAACTATGAATACTTTGTATAATTCTAATATTACCCTAGGAGGTTCAAGGTTATTGGAAGCTACTTAAAAAAGGTTTACAGCGTCAATTCCGCTGCCCCTGTTACATAG